TTCTTCATTTTCGTCTTTCATTGTCTACAAGTTGCTACCTTTCTCCAAATATATTACAAACGAAATGCAACATTCGCCTCATATCGTGTGTGTATCAAAAAGTCTAATATAAAATCATTAATAAACATCGCTTTCAAGTTTTAGTGTTTGAGTTGGATTAATTATATTACATGGAATTAGAGCCAATGACCAAATAATTACGAGTTAGAATCCTTAATTTTGGACCAAATAGTGGTAGTTCAGTTGGCGCATGGGAGCTGAGCAGGTGGGGGTGAGGGCATGTGTTTGAACCTCTCCAGTACCACTTTTGGGAGGAGTTTAAAGCCTTAATCCTGGATCCGCCCCGAATCGGACTAATCGCGGAGCGATGAAACGATGGAATATTTCCAAAAAAAAAAAAAGAATCCTTAATTTTGGATTAAAATAATTATTTACAAACTATCAATTCTCTTTATTTCAAGATAATGCTTAATATTTATTTTTTTAAAGGACATAGACTTATATTATTTGAGCCAAGCTATCTTATTTTATTATAAGAGAAACAGTTGCACAGTAAAAATCATGGTGGAAATGAAAGATTTTTCTAATTTAAATATTAAATAAAAAATAATAATTTTAACTAAAATCACTTTCAACAAACATTTTTTCCTTCAAAAGATCAATATCGACCTTGTATTACGTTGTTCGCTTGCTCTTGAATCTGGTTTCAGTAATACTTCTATTAACCCCAGGCATCGAGACAACCAAGTCATCGCTCTAGTTAATATATAAAAAAGTTTACCTATATATAGGGTTCACTTTCTCTGCAGTTATTGCAGATAAGTTATTTGCAGTAAGTCTAATACTACATTGTTTTGGGACAGAAATCATGGTGTTTTTGTAATTCTAATTTATTTCAGGGTTGTAATAGTCTTTATATTTATAATTTTTTAAGATTTCAATACCAAAACGACATCGTTTTGAGAATAAATACAAATAACTTATTTGCATTAACTGTATAAACATTTTTTCCATATATATATATATGAAAATGTTATATTTATAAACTTTTTATATATAAACTCTTACAAACTACACTATATATGACCGGTCATACTTCAATAAAGAATGTATGACCGATCAGACTTAGTGTAATTTGTAAAAAAAATTTATAAATAGATCATTTTCCATATATATATATATATATATATATATATATATATATATATATATATATATATATATAGTATTTTCCATAAATTGATGTTGAAACCGCAAATTCAACACAAATAAGCAAATCACAAACACGAACAAAATATTATACTCACATACTTTGGGTAATATTATAATACAGTACCATATTTCGTATAATAAATTTTAATATAAAAAATTCTTGCCAAATTCAATGCAAGAAAACGCTGGCTAAATTTAATATAGTAAATTTCTTGCTGAGCTTGGAAAAATAAAAAAACTGCTAATATTTTAGATTCAGTCAACTCCATATATAGTAACCCAATCTCCAAAAAAATACAATAAGAATAATATTAATGACACCGTAAAATCGTACCATGTTTTTTTTTTAAATTTTTTTAGTAAATATTGGGGGCAAAGCCCAAAAATCTTGCGGTGTTTAATTCGAAACTAGTCTGGAATAAAAATTGAAGAATCCATTTAATTTATGAATTAAAAATTTTGTTTAAAAGTTATAATATAATAATTTAATGGCTTTGAATATCATTATTTTGTTTGTCTGCAAATAGAAAAATAATCTAATTGAATTTGAATAGATTTAATTTTATTTTAGTTTTAATCGTTGCAGTTAGCTATTTTTCTTATATGAATTAAGTAATTTAACCTATTAAAGTAAAAATAACAAAGAAAATTACTAATGCAAAGTAAATTCAATTCCTTTTGCACACCAAAAAAAAAATTCAATTCCTTTTTAGGGGCGTTTGGTAAAGGAGAAAATTTTTTTACTAAGAAAATGCAATTATTAGGAATATGCTAGGAAAGTGAGTTTGGTGGAAAAGTTAAAAAAATATTGTTTGGTAAACCAAAATATTACTAAAAAAATTGGGTTAAATTTCCTGAGTTTTTTTGATTAAAGGTAAAATATTGATGAAAAAATAGGTTAAAATTACGAAATAACCCTTATAATTTTAAATCAGAACAACCCTTGCCTAAAACATTCTCCACTTAGTTGGTAATCCCAAAATATCACATTGGAAGTGGTATTTTGAAATAGTAATTTTCATCACAAAATGCACACGAATGACAAATCCTAGGCAATTTATTTCACTGGATTAATTTTTTTCAAACTTATACCAAACATGGTATTATTAGATACCCACCCACACTTCCCCAGCAATCCAAAAAAAAAAAAAAAAAAAAAACTCTTACCAAACATCCCCTTAATATTTGAAACATAAAAGTTAATTTATAAGTTAATTCAAAATCATTTTCCGAAAGTTCGAAAAAAATCATTTTCCTAATGAGTTATTAGTTTAATTTTTGAATTAAATCAATTCAATTTATTTGTTGAATAAACATATTAATCTGGACTTATTACATGCAAGATGGAGGCCCAATTGTTAAAAACCCAAAAGACCTAGAAGACCTTTGTGATATAGCTATAAAGACATACCATATCGCAACTGAGACAGATTACGCAGGATACTTGATCATCAAGCCGACATGACTTAGCTTGAAACAAACCATCATTGCCAAGATTAGTATTTGAGACAAATCTGGTGCTTATTCATCATAATGATAACAGTTTGACGTTGCATGTTCATACATTAGCAGTTTCGTTTTGTTTATGGGGCCACTTTTGCAGTAGCAATAGTATTTTTTGACAATAGTATAATATTAAGAATTCTCACTCCCATCTTTTGACAATTATATTGTTGAATATATTTATGGGTTTTATTAGTGTTATGTAACATAATGTAAGTGTTGTTTCTAACTCTCACATCAAAAGGGAGAGAGAAAATGGAATGATGAAAGAAAAAGAAAAACATGTGGACTCCACCTCTTTAATGTGTGTGTAGGAAAGTGAAGTTATATTATGTTAAATGATAAACATAAAACCCTATATTTATACGCAGCGTAGTTTTTTTTTTTTTTTCCTCTTATAATGAATAAAGGAAAAATATGAATTACCTACCTAGCTGTGTTTTGAAAGTTTCCTCTCGTAGTCGAATACTTACGGTTAAAAAACAACTTAACTTAGAATGGTTGTTTTGTTTTAAAAACACAGATATAACCTAAGCTGCCAATGTGGTAAAGTTTGTGAAGTATCATTATTTTTTCTTTTTCTTTTTTTGGAATAAACGATGTCTATGTCTATAAAAAAATCTATGACTCTAGGATTTCAAAAAAAATATTTGTTATGTCTTGTTTATTTTAAAAGTATTTTTTACAAAAACTAAAATTATTTAAATCTTTTAAAAAAATTGGTTTTTTTAAAAAATAAATTATTGAGTTCTACTTTTATTAGAAGTTAAAATTTTTAGTTTTCAAAAATAAATAAATTTTAATTTTTTTTTTAAACAGTCATCCAAGCATAATTTTTGTTGAGAAGTACTTTTTTTTTCTTTTCTGAAAAAAAAGCAACTTTAAGCCAATCCTCTTTCTTCTTCTTACTGTGAAATGAAACCTTGAAGACGCCGCCATTAGCGTCTCCGCAACTTCGAAGGCTCTTACTCCGATCCTTCCGTTCTCGTTCCTTCTCATGCATCTCTTCCTCTCCGATTCAACGCCCTCCTCTGTTTCCCCAACAACACTCTTCCAATCTCTCATTCCATTTCCAATCCCCAAGCCTTTTCACTCCACGTGCACTCTTCACAACAACACAATTCTCATCGTAACCCTTCATATAGGGGTTATTTTTGAAATTTCAAGGAGGGAGGGCCATGGCCTCCTAACCGCTCTGGGTCCGCCTATGATGCGTGGTGTGATGAAATAGAACGCCATTCCATGTTTAATCTTGAAATCGAAAGATTTTCATGATTGTAAATGGAAAGAAACATGAAATAACATTAATCGCCTAGAACAAAAATTTCAAGAGAGAAACATATCCTGTTTTTTAACCACACTACCTCAATTTTTCTTTTCTTTTTTTAAATTAGAATACTCAACATCTTCATATTTTGCGTACATAACAACTATATCTTACATGACACGGGACACGACACGTACTTGGACTTATTAATATTCAATAATATAACAGCAGATAAGTTATTTGCAATAAGTCCAATACGACATCATTTTGAATAGAAATCATGATGTTTTTGTAATTTTAATTTATTTCAAAGTTATTATAATCTTTATAATTATAATTTTTGAAATTTTCAATCCCATAACGACGTCGTTGTGAGAATAAATGTAGATAACTTATTTGCAGTAACTGAAAAATATTTTTCAGATATGTGTTATTATATTTTCAAATTAAATTTTTTTTATACATTTCACTATGATTTATTCGATATTCATTTTCAATTTTTATTATATCGGTAAAATATTGATAATTTTTTTATGATATATAATAAAATATCAAATATTATAAATGTCAGAACGTGTCATGATATCGGGTAGAGTTGGAGAGCTATGTAGCACTGATATCGACACGAGACACGTGACACGATACGACACGACACTTCGACATGTGACACGATACGACACGACACTCCGACACGTTAATTCTAAAAAATATTAGATTTTGACACGTTAGGACACGTTTTGATATTAAATAATATTTTTAATTTATGTAGTTTGTATTATATTTAATATTCAATAATTTAACAAAAAAATGAATCTAAACTTATAATATTCATAAATTTTGCAAAGAAACATAAGATATCCCAAATTTTTATATTAAACTCAATAAAATGGTAATCGTAATCCGACGAATCTAATAGTTGGAACAAAAAACTCTACGCAACGCAACCTTTGAACCTTTTTTTGAATTTCTATAATGCGTGTTGGAGTGTTGGGAAGTGTCCGAGTGTCCGAGAGTGTCGAGAAGTGTCGGACACGATACATTAGGATTTTTGAATTTCTGAAGTGTCGGTGCTTCATAGTTGGAGAATATCGGTCCAAGCTACCCAAACTTTATCAAAAAATATCCGAATTTATGTAACATTCAAGACGCCCAACAAACCTAAGATATCCATATGTAAGCTCATAAATACATGTATTCCATGAGAAAACAGCTGAAGGCAAAGTTCAGAAAAGCAAGAAGAAATTAATTTAGATGGAAGAATTTAAGGGATGATATCTAACCAGCAAAAAAGAACCAGTGCAATCAGACAGCAACTGCCATTTTCAAGCAAGATTACTAAGCTCAGAATGCCAAACAGTGGCAATTGCCAATTCAACATTATGACAAAAACATTTAAAGTGCAAGATCAATAACAGACTCAAGAAGCAAAATTTGCTACTCACTCTATTCCTCTGCAGGCAAATTTAGCTTATAGCGAAACTTCTTATTAGTTTTCCCTAGTTCAACAATCTCCTTAGCTTCTGAAATCATGGACTCACCCACCAGTTTATCCACCACAAGCTGCAGCAATGACACATCAACAATGCACCGAATGTTAAATATCTCCTTGGAAATTTCAAGGGCCATCTTCAAATCACCCTTCTCACACAGGAAAGGAACAAGAGTTGCAAAAGTCGCCTTATCAGGATCATAATCAGAGTTTGCTATTTCACCAAACCACTTCTTTGCTTCCCCCAAATCACCCTCATTCACAAAACCTTTTATCAAAGCATTGAAGCTAAATAGGTCAGGCTTGACACCCACCTTCTTCATTTCCTGAAAGAACTCAACAGCTTCACCCGTTTTCTTCTCCACAGCCAACCCCACCAACCTGGCATTGTAACTCCTGATATCAGGAACGACATTCTTCCCAGCCATTTCTCCCCACAGTTTCTCACCACACTCAAAACTACCCCTTGCGTACAACCCATCAAGCAGCGTATTAAACGTGATCAAATCGGGGTTCACCCCCTTTTGATCCATCTCCTTAAGCATTGCCAACGCGGAATCAAAAGAACCCATTTCACAGAGCGCCTTGATGACAGTGTTATACGACACCAAATCAGGCTCAATCGAGAGCTCATTGGGAAGATCCTTGAAAAGGCGTTCAACCACGTTGAACTTCCTGGAGTGGAGGTAAGCAGCCAAGAGGGCATTAAGAGAGAGCACGGTACGGCCACAATTTTTGTCAGGCATTTCGTCGAACATCTTGCGCGCATGTCTATGCATGCCGGTTTTACCATACAAGGTGATGAGGCGCGCCGAGAATCCCTCTTTGGACATGTCTGCGTACCTCTTCTGGTGTTCAAGGATGTCGCGGACCAACCGGAACCGCTTTGCGGCGGCCAGGCGGCGGACGGTATCCTCGTATATGCGGTTTTTGGTTCGGAAGCGATCAACGTCGGAAGCTTTCTTGAACTTGTCGACGAGGCGATTAAAGTTGTCTTCCTTGTACAGGTCCTGAGAAATTGACTTAATGCTTATGGTGGATTGTGTAGAGGTACACAAGTTCCGTTGAAGAACGCGATACATGCTGACTTGTTTTGTGTTCCAGTTTTCTCACTGAAACAATGAGAAACAATAATTGTCAAACAAGTTACAAGCTCTAGTTGGTGCGTCACCCTATATAATCGAGGAGCCGTTTTCTTTTTCTTTTCTTTCAAGAAGGTTCTAATGGTTGGGCTTGGAGCACCCTCTGTCGGCCCAACGGTTTTGGAAGATAGAGTTTTGAAGAATTTGGTGATTGTTTATTTAATTTATTATTAGTATGTATTAACACCTCAGAAGCAAATCTTGTTTTCACGCCCATATTGACGAGCTTACATGTTATATTCATATTTCGTGCTGCTGTTTCTTTGTTTGTGTATTTCTCAATGGGAAATGTTGTTTAGACCGAAACCAAATTTTACGAATTACCAATCAGTGAACATGATCATACTGAGTCATTTAGTTGTTTTACTAGACAAAACATAGGCACTTCCATTCCTTCTTTTTTTTTTTTTTTTTTGAGAATTAGTGTGTTCTTTCAACAATGTTATTTCGTTAGATTTACCATTATTTTTTGCAAAATCAATATAATTCTTGTGCTATTTTTGTCAACTCCATGGCTTGTTAATTTAGATTTTTACTCCAAAATCAATTCTCAATGTTTTGTTAAACTTTTTTTATTTGAATCCTGCCGGTGGTTTATAGACTTACCTTCTCCTGTGATATGTTGAATCTATGTCATACCCAAGTTTTTGAGCCAAGCTTTGCCAAAAATGAGTTAAGAGTAATAATGCTAGACACGAATCACATTGATACTTTTTTTTTTTGGTAAGCAATCACATTGATACTTTATTTAAATAAAATCAATGCTAGACAAGAATCACGTTGTTACTTTATTTAAATAACTCGGGAATAGAGAGCAATTTTAACATGTGATAAAAAGTTTCCAGATATGATTGTGAACATTCAAGGTCACCAATTCACCACTGATCTTTGGATGGTTGAACTAAGTGACTTGCAAATAATTTTGGACATGCTGTGGCTCTTCCAACTTGTCGTGTTACTCATGACTACTCTATAGAGTTCATTTGGCAAAGAAAACCTATCATTTTGCAGGCCGCACAACAAGCAGGTGACAGGAAATAGAAGGAAGCTGAGTTGGGAGTGTGACTCACATTGTCGTTGAGCAAGTTCAAGAGAATTCTAACGAGGTGATCCCAAATTTAGTAGTTTTAAAAGATGTGGATCATTCTTCCTTGTGGAAGGTTCTGGTTGAACACAATGGCATTTTTTTGATTCCTCGTTTGTTACCATCATCAATTAGAGGCATGGATCACAACATCGAACTAGTGGCTGGGTTCAAATCGATAGGGGAGGTTAACGAAACAGGGGCATTTGGTCCAGCTCACGAAGACTTGAGTTTATATGTCTAAAATTAGTTATTGGAATTAGGTTTGAACTTGTATAAAAACTCGTTTAATAAAAAGTCCTCAAACTTCAATTCAAAAGCCCGACCTTAAAGCCTCTCAGGCTGGCCTAGTATATTAATATTTATTTATATTTTATATTTTTTATACTACTCATATGATATGAACCTCACCAAGAATTGTGAGACCCAAGACTAATATAGTAAGGATCGTTTCTATAATCAGAAATTTAAATAAGAAATAAAGAACCTTGACCCATTATCTGTGGAAGATAAAAACCGAAGGTATATAAGAAGGATAAAGATGCCACTCTCTAAAAAGAAGAAAGTGAATGATAAGTCTGGTTTGAATGCCACAAGGACAAGATTCTTGATAAATTCAGAGTTCTAGATAAGAACCAAAGAGAAGAAACTTCTCTATTGATATTATAACTTCAAAGTCTGTTTACAAAGGCCTTAATCCCTCCTATTTATATTAAAAGTCTATCTTGAAAAATCTCTCCAAAAATAGGAAAAGACACATCACTTGAAAAAAGAAACATCACTAAGACACATCACTTGGGAAAAAGACAAAATAAACCCACTAAATTATTATTACATTGATAATATCAACTTCACTAAGCTTTTATTGCTTTGATGCTAATAATTCCACTCAACTTCCCTTGCATTGACGACATTGACTAAATTCTGATTATGATTTGATTTGGACTTGATGTCTTCATGATTAGTCCACAGTTCTTGAATCAGCTCACTAAGAGCTTCCTTAAACTTCTTGGCCTTGATCTTGTGATTGGCCTATTTGGCAATTGTAATGGATCATTTGGTATTGTCTCCTTATTCATATCATCATAATAGCTCTTTCTCTCTCCTCAACCCATTTCACCCTCATTTTATTGGTTAAACAGACTTTTTGAATGATTTTGTTCTATATTATGTTGTTTGGATATATATTGAATTTTTGAATCTTTGTGGAATTATTAATATTGTTGATCGTATATTTTGTTAGGATAAATTTTTGTTGTCTTATTTTTTTAACAGGCTAAACTAGGCTTTTAGTTTTTGTAAATAAGTCAGGCCACGAGCCGATAATTATATTCAGATTAGGTAACAGGCTAGACAAGGCTGACACATTTAAATACAGACTTGGCCTTTTAAGACCAAAGTCTGGCCCGACTTGACACGTTAACACCCCTCCAAATCGGTTAAGGTTAAGCCGTACAGGTATCCCCACCATAAAAAAGAAGAGATACAAAAGTAAGTTTCTGATATGTTATTTTCGGGGTTCAATCAACACAGTTACAGTTCTTTTTCGTCACCCATTCTACTTGTAAAAAACAAGACAATATGTGGAGAATGTGCATAGACTATCGCGCCTTAAACTCTATTACCGTTGAAGATGATTTTCTCATTCCCACAATTAATGAATTATTAGACGAGTTGCATGGTGCTTCAATTTTTAGCAAACTGGATTTAAGATCCGGTTATCATCAAATTCGTATGAAACTCGAAGATGTACCCAAAATGACATTGAAGACATAAAGATTACTATGAGTATTATTTCATGCCTTTGGCTCACAAAATGCTCCAGCAACCTTTCAAGTTGCAATGGACACGATTTTTTAGCTATACCTCCCCAAGTTTATCGTGTTAGTTTTTAATGATGTACTTGTTTATAGTTCATCTACGGAGGAACAACTTCATCATTTGAATGTGACATTAAATTATCTCTGTAAAGAACTACTTCAACTCAAAAGCTTAAGTTGTTGAGTGAAGGCCCATCAATAGCTTATATACTTATCTAACACGCCCCCTCATGCGAGAGCCTATTGGGCATGAAGGATGGATAATGCACAGGCCCACCTACCTATACTAAGAAATTTCATAAGAGAAAGTGGGGGCGGTGAAGATCAAATTCAGGACATGAGGCTCTGATACCGTGTAAAGAATCAATTCAATCCAAAAGTTTAAGTTGTTGAGTAAAGACCCATCAATGGTTTATATACTTCTCTAACAATCTCAGTGCAAATTCATTCTTTGTAAAACTGAGCCAGTGTGAATTTGGGGTAAATGAGATTTCTTATATGGGGCATGTTGTTACTACCCAAAGAGTGAGAGTTGTTCCTAAAAAGATTGCAATGATGATGGAGTGGCATGTTCCTTGCTCGAGCAAGCAATTTAGAGCCTTTCTCGAGCTAACGAGGTACTACAGGAGAGTTGTCCTTAACTACGCCTCAATTGCTCGTCGAATAACTGATTAATTAAGCAATGAGAAATAGTTTGTTTTAGAAGATGCAACGATGGCTTTTCAGCAGTTAAAACAAGCTATGTCTAGCACTCCAATTCTAAGGTTGTCGAATTTCTCTTCACTTTTTGTTGTGGAGTCAGAAGCATTGAATTTTAGAGTGGGAGCGAAATTACTTCAATAAGGTAAACCACAAGCATTTTTTTAGCAAAAAGCTAGGATTAAGTTGACCATAGCTTCAGCTTATGTACATGAGACATGCATTTACGAAAGCCATAAAAAATGGCATCACTAGCTCTTAGGTTCCTATTTTGTAGTAAGAACGAATCCTCAAAGTCTGAAGGAACTTTTAACTCAGACAACGGAGCAATATAAGTACATGTGAAAACTGATGGTGTATAACTTTACTATTAAATATAATCATGGTGCTTTGAATGTGGTGGCAGATTCTCTGTTGAGGCAACTTGATGAGGCAAGTCCCGAGTCATTACTATCCTTGTTGTCTAAACCTTCCTTCGATATTATTTCACGCATAAAAAGGAGACTGCTTCTGACCAGGAGTTAGTTTGATTACATAGTGAATTGACCATAACTTCTTTATTAGATCCTTTATTCACATCGAAAGATGGCATGTTGTTTCATAAAGGTTATTTTGTTCTTGGGTCCCAGTCACCTTTAAAAGTCGTGCTAATTGGTGAGGCCCACCGTACACCTTGGGGGAGGGGGTCATGTAGGGATATTTTGTACTTTTATATGATTGTCCTCTTATTTCTTTTGGAGGCACATGCAAATAGAAGTTAAGGAATTTTTCGCACATTGTACACTTTATCAACGTGTAAGGGCATCAACTCAAGCTCCCATGGGTTTATTGAAAATCTTTACAATTTCATAGAAGGTATTCAATGATCTCACCTTAGATACTATCCAATTTGTTTTCTACGATTCTTGTGGTTGTCGACTGACTGACGAAGTATGATCACTTTGGACCTTTACTATCGAGTTATATAGTGGTGACAGTAGCTCACCTTTTTTGCAATACGGTGGCAAAGTTGTTGGGATTTTCCTCCTTAATGATGCACAAGGCTCAATGTTGGTGAGTGGGGGGCTCAAGAAACCCTAATTCCCACTTTTGATATTCTAAAATCTTCCCTCCTCTACTATATATACTTGTGTTACATGAGAGGTTAGGGTTAGACACTTTGACATAATTTTGAAAGCACCTCTTAGAAGCTTGAGTATTAGACCTCCTTAAGGAAGTTTGAGAGAATACCACCATTATATGTGAGATTTGAGTGTACCACCATTATTGGTGAAGGGTGATATATTGTACCTATTATTTTCATAGTGAAAGTTTGATTATGAATTAGTGTCCTGTGAGTTTTTACTTCTTCACTTTGGATAAGGTTTTTCTCATGTTAAACAACTTCACTGTGTTCTTCTCTATCTCTCTCCTCTGCAAATTTAACATTTTTGCTTTGCGGGCCGACTGGGTGACTCGGGTCAACCTCTAATTGTGTGTGCCGAGCTTTGAGCTCGACGTCCAACTTGCAAACGCTTCAGTGCCGAGTTTGAGCGAACTGAGTTCCCAACAAAAGCGACATGGTTTTCCTTGCTTGTTGGTATTGAATTGAGACCCTATTTTCTAAATAAAGTTTTGGCGCAAGTTATTTCAACTTAGTCGTACTAAGCTACACGCTAGTAATGTTTAGCTGCCCCAATTGAACGACTATAAAGAAGTTATAAATCGGTACGTTGAACAGCACCTTAGAGCCTTTTGCTCAGAGCAAAATAATAAACGGTCTTCATAGTTAAGTTGGAAGGAACTTCATTACAATACCATTTTTCACCCTTCAATAACATGTCCTCATTCGAGACACTCTATTGGAAGGCACAATTTTAATTCCAACGTATCCACGAGGGCTGATGAAGGTTAAGACCGTGGATTCCTTGCTCCAAAAGCAAAATTAAGCACTAGCTAGTCTCAAGTTGCATTTGTAAAGAGCATACAATCGCATGAAGATGCAGGCAAATCGTTGTCGCCGCAATTGCTCGACCAATGTTGACGATTTAGTTCTTGTTCGTCTATAGTTATGCATACTGACAATTGTCAGATGCCAGGAGAGAAAATCATAAACTAGCCAAAGAGTGCTTTGCACCATTTTTTATTCAACGCGTTATTATGTTGCACCGATACTGACACAGGACACAACATGATACTTTGACACATAAATTTTAAAAATTGTTAGATTTCGACACGTTAGGACACATTTTGATATTTAATAATATTTTTAATTTATGTAGTGTATATTATATTTAGTATTCAATAATTTAATCAAAAAATGAAGTTAAACTTATAATACCCATCAATTTTGCAAAAAAAGATTAAGATATCACGAATATTTATATTAAACTCAATAAAATGATAATCATAATCCAATCTTTGAATCCTTTTTGAGTCTTTGCAACGCGTTTTGGAGTGTCGGGTAGTGTCAAAAAGTATCAGACATAACACGTCAAATTTTTTGAAGTGTCGGTACATCATAGGTAGTCGACGCTTGTTAGTGATCGAATATTGAATTATTTATACAAAAAAAAATTGGGTTTAGTGTTTGTCATTTTAAATGATATAAGTTATGTCATTTTAGGAGAGAAACAGACACTTTTTTAATTTTAAATTTAAATAATTTTTTTTTCTGTGTCTATCTGTCTCTTAAAAGGACAGAGTGTTATGTCATTTAAAATGACAAACACTTTTCCCAAAAAAATTCTTGATAAAAGAAAAGGATAAAACATCAACCACAACATCTATCTCATTATCACTCAAATATCTCAGCCCATAAAGTTATCCGCAACTTTTGATACCATAGGTAACCACTCTATAATTTCACATAATTTCATTTGATTTTTGTTATCTCATTCAATTTCTTCTTTTGCTTGTAATTTTTTTTATGTGTTTTATTATTCCTAATTAATTGAAGGCTGAAAAATAAATTTAGCATAACATTAAAGTCAAAAGAACTCAAAATAGGTGGTGTACTTTAGTACAAAATAAAGTAAAAGCCTTTATCATGAGAAAATACTATTAATTTTGTATGTAGAATTCTTTGGAATAGGATGAATTTTGATCAAACCCTTTAAAAAAATAAAACTTAACAAAATTATTTTTTTAATGTATGTTATATTGCATTTTAAGTGCTTTTATTTATAATATGATATTATTTATTTTTGGCCCCATCATAAAAAGTTTTGCATATGCCAGTGCCACTGGTGGGTAGGGTCGGCAAAACGGGCTCGGCCCAGCAGGTTGACCCGTCCTGCCCGCCAAACTGAGTGAGGCGGGCTAGGTTTCACAACTCACTCTCATAAGTGAGATGGGGCGGGCTAACTTATTTTTTGACGGGTTGATGGCGGGACGAGACGGGTTAGTATAAAACAGATTCGGGCCGGCGGGCAAAGTTTTTCAGTTCACTCTCAAAAATAAGACAGGTGGGGCGGGGAGGGAACAGACTGGGCCATCCACTTTGCCACTTCTACTGGTCAGCATAATATTACGTGTAACACCCTTGTGTTCTGGAAGGTAGTTAATGGGAAATGTAAATAGGGAGATGACGTGTTACATGTAACACGAGCTCATTTTTAGTACGAGAGTAATATATACTACTGCCATTCATAGTCAAACACTTGTATTTAAGATAATATTTTTCTCTCTTCCATGTCATAAATCAACATTGGTTTTGGTTTTTATTGGACGGATGTATGAAAAAATAGGTGGGACGAGAGTATAGTAGAAATTTCCGTGTAACACCCTTGGAGGCTCGACGTTGTATGCACGCATGAAATAAGTTTTGTTGAGTTACTCTCTTTCCGAGTTAGTTACAAGTTCGTACTGTAACACAATATCATGGTTTAAATCTCAGTTATTTATTGATAAATTAACTATCAACAATTAAAAATGACCATTTTTATTTTTTTAGAACTTTGTTATTAAAACAATTAATTTATTAATCAATTATTGAAGATATAATCATATTAAATATAGATATAAGGTGATCATGATCAAGTAGTTCTTACGATATGGTTGTACTAAATATTAGGGAAATTTTTTTTGGGAGGAAAGGATATTAAATATGTGGCCCTGCTCTATCATCCTCACTCAATTGTGCTTTTGCAGTCAACAAAACCAATTGCCAAAGGCCTTACAAAATCACTTAAAATTCCAAAAGAACAAAGTTTATTTGCTCTGTTGTGCACAAACTTCATGAATAAATCTACAATCAAATATTATCCACAACAACATTGCATTCACTTCCTCTTTGCAAGTCTCTATGTACTGTTGCAGTTATATCAAAAGGGAACAAATATACCAAGAATGAAGCAACAAACTGAGCTAAAATATCCATGTTCACTTCCAGCATTTTTGCTTATACAAATGTGGTGGAAGTGAAAGGTCACCTAATCTGCATTCATTCATCAATTACTTTATGATGTGGTGGTAATAAGTTGCAAGAAGGAAGTTAGGAAAGACAGATGAATTTGATGCTGCAAAGTTAATGTACGAGTTCGTTTCTTTAATTAACTAAATGAATCTCCTACATAACTACCATTAGCAATCTTGGTGCATTTACTTTCTACAGGAATTGTTGGGGTAACCAAAATTTATGGGGATAAACTGTGGAACAAGATGTCACCTAGAAGAAGAGGGGAAGGTTCAAGAATTTGTTGCTGGAGGCCATGAATACTTTTGGCATTGAGTTGATTGACACCAATGTTGCGACCACTAAAGGAGCATTTCTCATCAGGTGACTCTTGGAAAAATAAGAATCTCTAACTAGCTTCTTTACAAATATTAATTACAATATCACAAGAAGAGAGTAGTTTACGCTGTATGCTATCAAACCCATTAGAAGATACTCATCTTTCTATTATGGCGTGCAAATGTGGGTAGTAAGATCCTTTCCCCTCTCTTCCCCTTCCAAAAATACCCCATATTTCATATCAGTGAACATCAGCCAAAATTGGACACTAGTATAAGTACCAGGAATTTATTAGCCGGATAAGAAAAAGCTTTACTTTTAAAACATTCAAAAAGATTATACAGAGTGAAAAAACCAGAACAGTTTCAATTTAGACTTATATAGCTTATTTAATCTTTCATTTGTCTCTGCAGATTAATTATATAAGTTTAATAGCCAAAAAAATGGAGCAGGTGGTTGCTCCTGTTTAAGTTTTCTTTTATAATATGGTAGTCCTTATAAATTAATTTGATCTCTCAAAGTTCAAATTCCCTACATTTTTAGCCCTTGTTATCTAAATAATGAAGGTGAATCGTCTCTGAACTAGACTCAATGGAAAGACTAAAATATTGAAAATTTGAAATTCGAAAAATAAAATTAATGGACTTAATATATAACAAGTACATCTTTCAAGAATTAAATACAGCTTCAGCCTAAAATTTTAAAGTTGATCTTAATGGGCAAAAGGGAAAAGATAACGCTGATTATCTTGTGAGTTAATGAAATTATTGGATGGCATTATATAGTTTTTGGGTTGCACATTTCTCCACATAATTCTGTCTAAAGGAAAAAAAAAAAGAACCCAAAAAAGAGAAAATAAGAAGCCATCCTTTCAGACAAACAAACAATCTTTCATCTCTGATCTTGAAATCCAATACCCTTCCTTCCACCTATCTGAAGTGAAAGACCTGCACACCACATTCAATTTCGAAATCAAAACTCTTCTCTACATATAGAAAAGAATCCAAAAAAGAAAGAAAGAAAACAGCAATGAGAACATAAGCACATTAGTCAATGTTTGGCATCCTGAAAAATGATGGGTGAAATGAAATTTGCAAGCTTATGTTTAATTTGGGACTTATTTTCAAAACCCATAATTGAAAATTGCAATGAATTCAGGAAAAGTCATCATTTATCAATGAAAGCCAACCACATATTCAAAAACCATAATTGAAAGTTCCAATGAATTTGGGGCAAATCATCATTTATCAATGAATGCCAGCTAATAAAAGAGAGAAAGAGTGTAAAATAGGTACCTTGAGACCTACAAATTGGGGGGTCTTCAAAACGAGAGACAGAGAGATGTTTGTAGGCAAGACCAATATCAATAAGAATGAGTCCCGAACATGGATCAGTCACTATGATATCCTTCACAGGTAGCCACAAGAAAAGTTCTTCCCTTGACATACCCTCCAACACCTTGAGCTGCCCATAACTAAGGTTAGCCCTCACAACACTATCAAAGAACACTGTTGTTTCATACTGAGCCAAGCATGGACGATCCAAGTTCACCTCCAAACGACCCGTTTGGTCCAAATTGAATGACTTGACACTCTGAGGGAAGAGTCCAGCTGGCAAGCCATGGTCGTGAAGGACCTCGTGAATAGAAGAAGATTCACCGGTCACTATGAGAGGAAGAACAAGAAAAAGAAGAAGAAAAGAGAGTATAGGAACTGAAAATTTGGGTGTCAGACACATGGTGTGGCAAGGAGGAAAACTATGATCTGGGGAAAGAGCAGAGATCCTCTCAATGCTTTTTGAGGATTTTAAGGTTTTGAGTTTTATGTTTGAACACTGATGTGATGTGTCTGAAATGAGGTGTGAGAGTCACTTAGCGGCGGTGTTTACTAGATCTGAGTTGGCATAATTAGAGATCGAGAAGACCATATTACCCTTGTTTTGGAATCTAGGAGTGAGGAAATGAAACCGGCAAGCACATGGATTTGAACATCCAAAATTGGTAAGAAAATAAAATAAAAGCTGGTAGGTGATGATAAAGGATATTAAAACTATATAATAATAATAATAATAATGGGTTCGCTCGATAAGTTATATGCAGTAAGCCCAATACAATGTTGTTTTGGAGCGGAAATCATTGTGTTTTTGTAATTTTAATTTATTTCAGGGTTATAATAATCTTTATATTTATAATTTTTTAAGATTTCAATACCAAAACGACGTCGTTTTAGAAATAAATGCAGATACTTATCTGCATTAACTGTAGAAATATTTTTCCCAACAATAATAATAATAATAGGGTAATACTTTTCTCATTTAACATGAGAGAAGTTTTTTTCCTACACTAATAAGAAGCGTGGAGCCCACAAGTTAACAAAAAATAAAAAAGAAGAGAAATGGTAAGCATGTCTTTTTATGTCTCTGTGACATGAGATAGTTATATCCTACCGTTGGAGAAAACAATTTCCCATAAAAATAAAGGAAAGATGTTTATTCTTTTAAAATATATAATTTTATCTCATGTGAAATTATAGTATTTTATTATAATATCTAATCAAATTTTTTTATTTACTAGAATTCACTTTTTTTTATTTTTTTAATTAGCTAAATACTAAAACATTGTATTTAACTTAAAATAGCACAAATTTCATTGAGAATAAATGAGTGTTTTCAGCTTACCAAAAAAAAAAATGAGTGTTTTCATGCTTTAGATTTCGAGTGACTGTGTAGTGAGATCTTCATAAAGTCGGAAACTGAACATAGATTTGAACTTGCTTTGCCCTTAATCCGCGCCTGCGGGTCGTACGTACCATTTTCCTTTATTTACTCTGAATTGGTTATAAACTGGCGTGTTATGCGGAGACTAAAGGAGTTATCAATTAAAAAAAATTAGTTATAAGATTTGAAAGTAATTTATATGTAGGCGATGGATCAAAATTTTAAATTTCTTAAAAACATTTTGTAAATCGTTTTCTCAAACAAAATTTAAATTCAAAAAACATTTTCGTAAGAGTGTGAAGTTTAAAATAATTTTGAAAAAAAAAAATTAATTTTTTTTTTTTATAAAAGTTCGGTTTCGATAGCATCTTTAAAAGATTATTTTGATTTATTAACACTTCCTTTAATTGATATTTTCCTTTTTTTTAATTTCAAATCTGATTGCATTTGGGCTTAAAATGTCATATTCTTTTTATTTTCATTAATGGTAAATTTTATGTCAAATTGAGGAAAATCAATAACTTAATAATATGATTATGTTAAAAAATTTAACAGGCATCTAGTCTAAACATTACTAACTATTATTGTCTCATCTATAATTTCATTATCTTTAGCGTTTTAAATTGATTACTTTTCATACATATTAATTTCATCGGCATTTTCCTCTTCAATCTTTTCATGCAATTTTTACTCCAAAAGTAATGCACATGTAGTATAATGTTTTTTTTTTCATCTTTTCTTTATTTTGGTGGTAAAAAGTAATTCATTTTTAGTATTTTATTTTTTACTTTTTATTTGACATTGGACTTGGACTTATAAATGCAAGCTAATCCAAAAACAATGATACCAAATTCAGAGATAGCTAGATGAACTTGGATATTAACAATTATTACACAATTGTTAATGCATAATTTAATAGTTAAAAAGTAAATGATTATAAAACTTGGAAAATAAAAGTCAAATTCTCTCTTTGTTTTCTTTAAAGTTTAACCTTTTGTTTTTACCAAAATCAGATACCATTATAAAATTGAGTAATCGTAAACATTAGATTAAAATAAGGGTAATATTGCTTTATTCAAAACAATTAGCTTTACAGTTTTCTAATTAAATAGAAAATATTTATTAAAAAATATTAATATTTCTATAATTAATTGTAAAAGTGATTAAGTTGGGCATTATGAGAATTTACAATTTAAAAAAAATCAAAGAACATTAAATTAAGAATAAAATTCTTTCATATATTAATATGGGTTGAATATTTTAAATTACCAAGCATTTAGTTTGTCCACACTATCAATTATTTATTCTTAAGAAAACACAACAAATCTCGTCATGGATATCAAGAATATTGGGTAAGGAGGGAAGCACATGGTAAGGGAAAACTATCAAAGATGGCTCTTTATGTGCCACAATCCAATGGAATTGGTGAGAGAAAGAACTGGACATTGAATTAAATAATGAATGCTATATTGTTGGCGTTTGGTTTACCACAAAATTTATGGGAGGAAGTTATTCTAATGACAAATTATATAATTAATAGGTTATCTCATAAGAAAACAAAGAATATTCCCTATAAAATGTGGAAATATAAGAAGCCTACCTTTAATTATCTTAAAGTGTGGAGGTGTTTGGCAAAGGTCGCGATTCTGAAACCAAAAAGGGTTAAGATCGGACCAAAGATAGTGAACTGTGTTCATTGGATATGTAAATAATAATGGTGCATATTAATAGTGATGCAAATTGAATCACCGACTATAGTGACACCAAGTCCACAAATGGGTATGAGTACACACTTGGTGGGTGTTGTATCTTGAAAATCGTCCAAGTAAGCATGTATTACAAGGTGGACCATGGAAGCAAAAAAACTTATTGCCTTGGATAGCATTGAGTAACTTTCTTGGGAATATTTCGAACTAGCCGAAGACAATGCACAAACAAAAAATTTATAAAACGTTTACAAACTATACTATGTACTATGGGTAGTATATGCCAACAAATACAACGCAGGGAATCGAACACAACTCAAGAGAGTGAGTAATGTTACCACTTACCAAAAGGTCACCCTCAATTGTTGGTCAAAATACACCTTATAATATATTTATTATATGATTTAGTATAAATTTAATTAAATTGGTTGAACCAATGACCCAATGATCTAGTACCTCGATCGAGTCGATGACCGGGCTAAGTTTTAAAACACTTTGAATAATTTCTTTTTTGATATTGTAATGATGTCATATTTGAATTTTAATTTATCACTAGGGGTGCACATATATTAAATGGAACTGAATTTTTTGAAGAACCGAATCGAATTGGTTTAACTCAGGTAAAAAAGAATCAAACTTTTTTTTTATTCGAAACCGGTTCGGTTCGATTCGAAAATGGTTTTCGGTTCTAAAACGATTTAATTTGGTTCCGAATCAGTTCGGGGCAAACCTATTCCGAAAAGAAAAGAAAAGAAAACTTTTTTTTTTAAATAAATAAAGTAATAAAAATAAAAGAAGCCACTAAATATTAAATAAATAAATAAAATATATAGAAAAAGAAAATAATAATAATTTAGTTTACGAATTGGTTTTTTAAACAAGTTCAGTTCTTGAATTGGTTTCTAAAAATAGTTTGGCTCATTAATTGATTCTTTAAAAATCAGTTATTTTAAATACAATCAGTTTAGGTCATAGTTCAATTTTTTGGTTGTTTTGCACATCTCTACTAATCACAATGTAAAAATGGTGGAATGTTTCCCGAAGCAGGTGAAGTATCTCAATTTGACAATGACCATAGAGACAATGATATGGATTAATGCTCTTTGGAGTCTCCGTACTAGCCTTAAATGAATTGATGATTAAAGGGCAGTGAATCAGGCTTAATTATTTGCTATGTGAGCAATGGAGAAGATGATCCATCATCAAGAGGTATCAACTCGTACTTATAGAGTGAGAAGATTTACTTTAAGTGAGAAAAATTTAATGTCATAACCATTTTCAGTCCTATGATCCTCACGATGATGTGAGATTGTACAACTCCTAACGTAGAAGGGCTATGTGTGACCATGCGTGAGGAGGATATGTGTAATGAGAATCCAAGTGCCCTCAGGTACTAAATGTTTATGACCTTGTCGGACAGTCAATGAGATAACCAATTAACCATCAGACTAGTTCAGAATAGAATTAATTTGTATGTATCTCAATTAATTCACATTTCCATTTAGCACAAGTTATCTATCTAAGACTAATGCTTACAGAATAATTGAAGTTGTTTTGTTTAATGTTTATTGTAATTGTCTTTTGTATGTCACAAAACAAAACGTCTAACTCTATTTTATAGTTGTATTGTACAAACTAGCTATATTATATCGATACTTCAAAAAAAATTAAAGTGTAGCATCCGACACTCCCCGACACCTCGACATCCCCTCACTTCCTGACACTCTCTGATACTCTGACACGCTCCAACATCTATAATATTTGAAATTTCATTACATGTCATGAAAAAATTAATCTATGTTTAACCAAATTGATATAATAAAAATTAAAAATAGATACCGAAAAAATCTCCCTGGAGTGCATAAGTGATTTTAAATTTGAAAATATAATAGTAAATATTTACCTCTTATTTTTTTTTTACAAAATTAATAAGTATTGTAAGTTTAGTTTTATTTTTTTTGTTAAATTATTGAATATTAAATATAATATACACTACATAAATTAAAAATATTATTTAATATTAAAATATGTCTTCTCGTGTAAAAATCTGTTAGATTTTTAGAATTAATATGTCGAAATATCGTGTCGTATCTTGTGTCAGTATTAGTGCAATATAGCTACACTTAACAATTGCCGGGAAGTGAAGTTTAAAGTTTAACAACAACCGGTTCAGTTGGTCCGTTGAGATGCAAGTAATTAAGTTTCAAATAAATAATTTTTTAGGTGAATAAAATTGATTCTAATATAAGATTTATATAATTGTTTAAAGAATATTAGTAGTTACATGACTTACATCTTAAAAGTAATTCTAAATAGAATAAAATTTTAAAATATTATTATCAAGCATAAATCAATTATTT